TGCTGATTTGCTGATTTGCTGGCTTTTTCCATCCATCGAATCGTAATTTCAGGGTATTCGAGAAGCATTTGTCGACAACACGGTCGAATGGAAGCGATTATTCGACTCGAAGGAACCGCAAACCGAAGCCGTCCCCTCGCCGTTTCAACATTTGGATCGGTTCGAGAAAATGTTGATACTACGATGCATTCGTCCCGATAAGATGCTGCCAGCGGTACAGAGTTTCGTCGAGGGTATCGTCCCCAAAATATTACTCTTATTATACATATACACGGATACTTTTCACACGCTCTTCAGATTTTCCTCCAGAGAACAAACTTTTTCCCTCAAACTAACGATCGACACGATGCTACTTTCACGCACAGCGGAACTTGGTTCGCAATTCATCGAACCGCCACCGTTCGACTTGGCTTCTACTTATGCCGATTCAAACTGCTGCGTCCCACTGATATTTATATTGACACCGGGTACCGATCCAGCGCGATTACTACTCACGTTTGCGGATGAACAAGGTTACAGCGTCGACCGCCTTTTCTCCATTTCCCTCGGTCAAGGTGAGCGACGTGTGTCTCGATCTCAAAGAATGTCTTGAGAATGTCTCTGTCTCAGAGACGTTCGAAAAACGTTCGTCTCGAGAAAAGCGCGAGAGTTATGCTTACAGTCCGAATTGACAACAGGACAGGGGCCAATCGCCGAGGAAATAATTCAAACGGCTGTGATAGTCGGTAACTGGGTGGTTCTGCAAAACTGTCATTTGGCCGTCAGCTGGATGAGTACTTTGGAAAAAATTTGCGAAGGCCTGATGCCCGACACGATTCACCCCGAGTTTCGTCTCTGGTTGACAAGCTACCCGTCCGAACACTTTCCCACCTCGGTTCTAGAGAACAGTATAAAAATGACGAACGAACCACCGAAAGGCTTAAGGGCTAACATCGTTAGATCGTACGCCAGTGATCCGATCAGCGATCCGGATTTCTTCGAATCTTGCTCGCAAACTGAAAACTTCAAGAAGCTTCTCTACTCGTTGTGTTTCTTCCACGCTGTGGTCCAGGAAAGACGAGAATTCGGCTCGATCGGCTGGAACATCAGATACGAGTTCAACGAGACTGACCTTCGAATCAGCGTTTTACAATTGCACGTTTTCCTCGATCGGTACGAAGATGTGAAATTCGATGCTCTCAAGTATCTGACCGGCGAATGCAATTACGGTGGGAGAGTTACAGACGATTGGGATCGCAGAACCTTGAACGCTATACTGTCAAAGTTTTATTCCGAGTATCTATTCCACTATCTATGAATAATCTGTATTTTTACTTCTGTTTTTGAAAAAAATCAGGTCGGCACGCACGGTGGTGGCAACCGACCACCGATTGATTTTTCAACATTTCGCTTTCTCCTTCCAGAGAATTACTCGCCAAGAAATATTGTTATTTCGACGATACTTCGACGATTTACTATTGCCCAAACGTGCGAGAACACGAAGCGTTCGTAGAATACACCAAAAATTTACCATTGATCGCGGAACCGAGTGTTTTTGGGATGAACGAGAACGCGGATATTATCAAAGATCAGCGTGAAACGAACTTTTTATTTTCGTCGCTTCTACTAACTCAGGTAGGAATCGCGAAGGAATTTCTATTCTTTCTAGGACTTTCTCCTTTTTACATTGTTACGTTTATCTATACATCTGTACACATCTATACATTTCTTTATTTTTATACGGCGACTTTGCTCAGGATCGCCTGGTACGTACGATACGTGTTACTTACCTAAAATCGTCCATTTTCTTCTTTCCACGTCCAACGTTATTATTATTCTTCTACTTCTACACCTTTGTACAGTGAGTGCAAATAAATCTCTCGTGTCTTGTTCTCCTGTCGAATCAATTTCGATTTCGACGATTTCATTCGCGCTCACTGTATTCGACAAAAAATGAAAAATTAATTTTTCCAATCTCTTCTTCCGTCTTCTCTGCTCTGAATTAGGATCTCTGGCAATTGAGACAGGTTAGTTAGTATATATTGTAATTATAAATTAACGAACAAACGAACAGCAGAAAAAGTATATATAGAACAAACGATCGAGTCACGATTTACATATTTACATTTTTAATTTTCACTTAACCTTACTTACCGCAGGAGAGAATCGAGTCGCCAACTGGACAATTCACCAACGACGAGATAGTACTTGGAATGTCGAACGATATTTTAGAAAAATTGCCAGACGACTATGACCTTGTATCGGCACTTGAAAAATACCCAATGTCTTACGAACAAAGCATGAACACCGTGTTGATACAAGAAATGGGAAGATTTAACAAACTTCTCAGCTGTATCGAGACTAGTTTGGAAAACGTTATACGAGCTATTAAAGGTTTTCTATTTTCTCTTGTTCTACGCTTCTACTACTTTTGATATTTCCTCACATTTTCATCATCTTACAATTGTACATATACATAGGTATTGTCGTCATGTCGTTTGAATTAGAAGATATCTACGATGCTATTTTGATGAACAAGATACCTGCTTTGTGGCAACAACATTCGTATCCATCGCTAAAGCCGCTTGCTAGTTACGTACACGATTTGTCAAATCGTTTGAATTTCTTTAAAGTAAGATATCTTAAAGTTAAAGTTCATTCCTTACAATCCGCAAAAAT